TCAGCATGAGCAGGTCCACTGTGCTTCATTAGTTCATTACGGTGAACGGTGATAACGCACACAGACGCTCTTCTCAGGGTTCCTGTTTGAGCTCATTAAATCATTAAATAAAGCCTCTCATCCAGGCACTGCTCTCCTCCTCTCAGCTCATCTCGTCCTCTCTTATCTTTTCTTCTCTTTTACTTGCAAAAGAGCTCAGGTTTCTAAAACATACCTACCGCTCAAATCAAAACTAACATATAACAATATTTTTCTTTTTGTTATTTTGAAGGCCACATTAAACTGTGTTGGACACTATAACTTTTGTATTATGTTTTCATCATTTATTTTTATTTATATTTGCATTTTATTGTTTATGCAATATTTGCATTTGATTTGTGAAGAAAACTAAGACAAATTAAGGTAAATATTTCAATTAACAGTGTTATGACTGTCACAAATCAAGCCTCCGATCGCCACCAGAGGACTCCACACACACACACACACACACACACACACACACACACACACACACACACACACACACACACACACACACACACACACACACACACACTTGCTGCTGCTGACATCTCTGAGTGTGTATTCCTGTATATTGATCTCTTGTGTATGACCTTGGACTGTTTACCCTGTTGCTGCCTTTAGATCGTCTGTCTGTTTAGCTGGATATTGTTGGTATTGTTTGCTGCCTGTCCTGAGCATTTTCCTGTTATCTTGACGACTCTGCCTTGCCTCGGATATATACCTTTTGCCGGTGATTTACTCCTGTCTGTTGTACTTCGAGCATTGTTTTACAATAAAGCTGCACGTGGATCCCAACTCTGTTGACTCCAGGTTACAATGACATGAGAAATCAAATTTGCCAAAAATCATATGATCAAACAGCTCGTTCTGATATTGTGGGATCTGTGACATCACACATGTAAATTTGCAGATGCCCCCCTCCAGAGCAAGACCTCGACCAATAGTTATACAGCATTGCATCACAGGCCCCGCCCACTGGCCCACAAACAGAAGCCAGATGTGTGTGCAGACAACAGGACAAATGGAAGAGTGAAAGAACTTCGGTTTTTTTCCGTTTAAACAACTTGTTTATGTCTCTGGAGTCTGTCTGATGATTTATTTTAATAGCCCTGCCAACACCAAAAATGATGATAGTATATATGATTTCCACCAGTAAAAGCATTAAAAAAGAATGTCATCTGGAGAAGCATCACAGAATTCATCAAAACACAAGGGGTCTCATTCATGAAACACGAGCAGGACGAATTTTTATGTAAATCGTGTGTGAACTGGTTCTGGCGTAAATTTTCGGATTCATTAAAATGTTCGTATTTTCCAAATGTTAGTTGGTACGAAAGAAATCTACTCCTGCTCCCAGCCACGCGTAAATACTGGGTTTAACATCCGAACGTTTTGCTCATTAATAACTAAGCCTGCATTTTAATTCACCTTAATCGGGTACATATTTACACAGCATTTTGAAAAAATATTATATATAGTAATTACATATGGTTTTTGTTTTTACTTCTGGGACTGTTTGATTAACACATGAAACTCCATTAACTGCATCTGTAATATCCTGACAAGCTTGCTTTTCTTTAGGACCTGATACGCCACTATGTACGCTTGAAAATAAAATGTGGTGTTTTGAATGAACTTCTGATAATAAAACTTTGATTTCTGCATCTGAGAAATTTTTCTTTTTCACTCGCTTTTGAGAAGACATGTTGAAATCCTTCGTTTGATGTCATAATATGATGCCCATATATAGTTGTCAGTCGGATTTAATGGGCGGGATTTATGGTAATTGAGAATGAGCGTGCACGCGCGTCCCATTTACGGCTGATTGGAATTCATTAACACACACACACACATTTCACTCTCACATCTGACGTTTACAAAGTATTTGTGAATCAGGAGATGAGTTTTCGGGAAGGTCTCTTTACGCGCAAATCACTCTCATATTTACTCGTATATTTACGAATGTTTCATGAATGAGACCCAAGGTGTGTGTGTTAGTTTCCCTCGTCTGAGTGTGTGAGAGAGCATGCAAACAGAGAGATCGCACCCTCGCGCCTCTAATGGGCTGTGACTGTTGTATAGCACAGCATTTTCAGCAGATAGAAACATTGCTTGTCCTAGGACTCTGTCGCAGCTGGTTTTGACACTGCATCTGTCACGTTGAGAGTTTATTACCCAGTAATCATTTTCCAAGGCAGCTCGTTGAGCCATTATGAAGAAACGAGTCGATAATGTACTCTCTCACACCGGCACAACATGGACGCCTCTGATAAAGATGCCACACAGAATTACTGCCTATGAGCCGAGCAGTTTCTTCAGAGATCCATGAGTGAATGGCTTCAGTAATGTGATTTTCCCTCAGTCTGGATTCCCTCTCTGTAAGGGCACTTTAGCAGCTGCTATAATGTACTATTACCTCATCGAAGAGCAGAGGACTGACATACTACTCACCCACGGAGTCTCCGTATCCCCTTAGTTTGTGAATACACAGAATAATCAAGTAGACATGGGAACTGGATGAATAATTGAATGTTACCGATCCTGATCTGAGTTTGACCAGTGAAGCAGCCTGAATCATAGTGACACAGAGGAGACCTGAGCGACCGAGTCTGGGTTCTCCCAAGGGTTCTCCTTCATTCGGTCACTGATGGAGTCTGGGTTCCTGCCGCTGTCGCCTCTGGCTTCATTAGTTGGGGACGCTTAATATTCAGGAATATTATTGATCTGACTGTACTCACACAGCTGCATGAGAACTGAACTGGACGATGACATCAATGTTTTCTGAATTTAATAATTGATGATCTTTACACAGAACTGAGTCAACAGGACTGACTTCGGCTGAACAATGACACTAATTTCCCTTAGAGCTGCTGTACAGCCGAATTGAACTCTATTTGCATCATCGAATCATTTTCCTGTATATCACTGTAAAGCTGCTTTGAAACAATATTGTATTGTAATAAATTCTGTTGACTTTGGCAATCTTTGTTGAATTATATGCCAACAGTGACTGTTCAAAAATGGGAAAAGCACTTGTGTTTTCCCCCTTAGTTTGTAAAGCTGTAGCCTCGCGTAGCCAGAGCTTCAGACTGACAGCAGAAGGTCTGGACTCCATCACAGCTCTCATTGGCCAAGGACCACGCAGAGGCCGTCTGACTGACATGTACAGCAACCAATCACAGTTCGTTTTGCTCCGGTCTGTGGGGGTGACTTCTTAGGCTGAGATTAGCATACCTGTAACTCAAAAAGTATTCAATATCTTAATATGATTTTAGATTCTAGCTCCTAAGAAATGTTTCTTTTGGTATCTTCGTTTGTAAGGCCCTATATGGTTCAATCCCAGAGATATTGGGATCCAGTGGCGTAGCATCTATTTATGCAGGGTATGCATGTGCCAATGGGCCCGGCTGGATTACGGCCCGCATCCGTAAAGCTACGACGTCATTCACTTCATTAGTCTATGGCTTCATTGAAGCACATGCGCACACATACAGACAGTCACTCGGTAGCACTACTGAAACGCTACATAACATTTCTCAGCAATGAGAGAGAAGCATTACTGTTTTAAATCAACACACAGCTTCACTATTAATAAAGAGACACTACATAGACAAAGGTAATTCACACACACACACACACACACACACACACACAATCTCTCTCTCTCTAATTCATTCAAACAAATGTAATCTTACCAAACGACTTTTTCGCTATGTCTAATTTGAAGAGGGCAGAATGCTAGATCTAATGACCGGTAGACAAAATGACTGACAAAATTACCATCATTTTGATAATTTCAGTCTCCCCTTTCGCGTTGGGTGTTTCTTTAGTCTGGTTTATTTAATTTATTAGGTAACTTGCTCAATAGACAATTACTGACTATTACTAATACTACTCTGGATCTGGATGGCCTGTTACTTTAAAGAGATGATGTGTTTATCAGGCTACTAGGATGAAAACAATGCGATGTAACTGTCATTGATGGAAAGCAATGTGTTTGGTATGGCATTTTCCTGATACGCTGCAGTGATGCACGTCTCTTTGCATATTAAATTACCCAGGGTGAACTACTTTAAGTTTGGGAGCCCTTAAATGTTTCATAGTTTGAGGTATTATCAGTGATTTCACCAAACATGCCCCTCAGCAGTGGATACTTGATCTTACTAGATTTGTTTATGCTTCACATGTTGGAACAATAGGACATTGTAATACTTAAACAATTCAGGTGAGGTAAATCGTGGTTTTTGATGTGAATAGAATGTGTGGGGAGAGCAAACACACTTTCCTTGAAACTTGTTTCAAACATGTAGTTACGATACTGCATATTTGAACTCTTGCTAGCTTTAGAAGCTGTTAAAATGAACAAAATTTTCCTTCTTCCAAAAATCTCTAAAACTGATTCAAATATAGAATCTTATTTCTGTCATGACAACTTGAGATCTTGAATTTGAGCTGAGGAAGTTTCCACAATTTGGTTGATTTGCATGGAAGAACATTGTAGCCAGAGCTACTTCTCTCTGTTTATGTATATGACGCGTCATGCAGGTACTTGGGTTACTTTGCAGTGGTTGTCTGTTGTCCCGCTCGGTCAAAAAGATTGAAAATAGATAGATGATATTAATAGAGGAGTACCGTAGTGATTAGGAATAAGACAAAAGCACGGTTTGGAAGATGGATCCATGATGTACTTGCTCGTTATATAAATTTTGAATGAAAAAAGTTACAGTACACAATACTAACAGGAACCGTTAATAAAACATGGACACTGATGAATAGAATGAACATCATATCTGCATGCAAATCCTTCCCAGCTCACATACCAGTTCATAATTTATTGATATGCCCCACCGCTCCCCCCCAACAAACCAACAAACACTTGGATCCCCACAGTTGGTTAAATCACGACATATTTTTCTCTGGGATCAGTATTTCTGTCATAGCCCAGGAAATGTGAAAGAAGACATTCTGCTTCGTACCTGTATATGAGGACCTCATCATCTGAGCAGTTGTACTGTAGCTGGTACATTTTCACTTTGGGAGCGGTCTTGCTGACGGACCACTTGATTAAGGCAGACACAGCAGTCACCTCAGACACGGACACTGCTTTCTCTGGCAGGCTCTTGGTAGAGCCTTTACTAGTCCTTGAGCTGTCTGTAATGTCTGACAGACGGGACTTGGGTTGTGATGCCTGGCCTGTGCCATTGCTTATGTGGGGTAGCTGAATAATTGACAGCTCCACTGAAGCGGTTGATTCACCAGCCAGGTTGGCTGCAATGCAGGTGAAGGTCCCATAGTCCTTTGAAGTGGTTATTAGGATCTGCAGGGTCCCATTGCGGTACACCACAGTGCGGGAAGAGTTGCCCAGTAATCGATCATCAGGGGTCACCCAATGGATAGTTGGGGTGGGATCTCCTATGGCTTCGCACCGTAGACTAGCGGTCTGCCCCTCCAGAACAAGCATCCTGTGGGTGTGTTGAGTAATCAGTGGCTGCTCACACAAAAACTCATCCTCCCGAACACTCCAGAAGTAGCGGCCCTTCAAGCCGGGAGGCGAGGCACAAGTCTCCAGGTCATCATCTCGCTCCAGACGTCGGAACCAAAGCAATTCGCAGTTGCAGTGAAGCGGGTTCCCTCCTATGCTGAGTGACAGCTGAGGGGTGAACGGTGTGGTCATCACCTCTGAATCCTGTGCTCTGGCAAAGATGGGATCCGGCGGAAGCTTCTGGAGCCGGTTAGAGGTGAGGTCCAAGCGGGCCAGCCTCTCCAGATCCACAAAGGTCCCCTCGGGAATGTAGTCCAACAAGTTATGGTCCAGGCTCAGCTGGTGCAGGTTGATCATCTGCCGGACTGAATGCCAGGGCAGAGCCTGAAGGTTGTTGTAGGACAAGTCCAGATCCTCAAGGGATGCGGCAAGGTCTTCAAACGCCCTCTCAGAGATGCGACCCAGTTGGTTGTTATTGAGGATGAGATGCTGCAGGCTGACCAGCCCTCGCAGGTCATCAGGGCCCAACTCCACTAAACGGTTGTTATCAATATGAAGAGAACGGAGGGTTTCCAGGTCCCCAAAGGAAAAGGGCTGAATGTAGCTGATTGTGTTGCGGGAGAGAGTAAGGTCCACCAAGTCTGTCATGTTGGCAAAGTCCTGCTGTGTGATTCGAAGGATGTAGTTTCCCCCTAAACGGAGCTCCACGGTGCTGCGGTCTATATCAGGTGGCACAAAGAGCAGGCCTTTAGCCGGGCACAGGGTCCCAAGCGACTCAGACAGGTTCTGGCACACACAGTACTTGGGACACGCTCGGGCCATCATCACAGCCATACCCAGAACCAGCATCTGATAGAGCAAGTGGTCCATGGTAGATTCACATGAAGGGACCTGGAGGACAACAACACAAAAGGGACAATCAGTATCATGAAATAGAGGATCATTTATGATTTCATTCAGTGTCTTTGAATCAGGTTACTGTGACGGATGTTAAGAAGCAACAGAGGACTTGTGCATATGCAGTAACTTTCTAGAAACAGTGAATACTGATCAGCTGTACAGATGGTAACCACACAGTTTAAGTACTTATGCATAATCCCGATTTTATATATACTTATATATAACCCCGTTTTTTTATCAGGATCAGGATCCATTGAATATTAAGTCTACATTTGAACATCTGCATTCTTTTCCTTTTAATGGCGGTTGGAAAACCCACTTGAAGGTGCACACCGCCACCTACGTCACAACACCTGTGTGACAGCTGACGTAAAATAAAGGATTGGGCTTAAGATAGCCGATACCGATCAGTTCAAAAAAATTGAATTGGGCCCGATACCAATTTAATTTAATTTAAACAGTTTAATTTAGCAGGGACAATGCACATTAACAAGCATAAATGCAAATGCGCCAGAATTAGCCAAGAGACTATTTTTCATCTGTAGTCCCTGGATGGACATCTCATACTACTACTACAATTAAATTAAATTTAAAAAAAATAACGTACAACGTAGCTCATAATGAATACATACATAGATAAAAAAAGTTTTAAAAAACAACAACAAAAAAACAATACAACAAGGTCACAGATAACAGATATACATACAACGCTGAAAAGGCAGACTAGCAGGAAGAATCCCACTAGTAACATCAGACATTTTTATGCCAGCAACATGCAATTTCAAATTCAGTGTTGACAGAGCTGTGTACTAATTAACCATATCTTTAAACGAATTTTAAATGAGCTGTATGTATCCAATTCTCTAATAGCAATTGGGATGGAATTCCATTCTGGTGCAGCTCTAACTGAAAATGGAGACTGACTGAAATTGCTTTTTCTAAAAGGGATAATACAATCCCCTCTTGCTGACCCTCTTGTACAATGATAAGCAGTTGTTCTTGTAATAACAAACTGACTGAGTGGGGGAGAAGTCAGTCCCTGTATAATCTTGTACATAAGACAAGCATTAACATATTTAATCAGATTTTTTCCAGCTCAGCAAGTTATATTTTACTAATATTGGGCAATGATGAAAATGTACTGATTTTTTGTCCAGAACTGTAAGTGTTTAATACAGTGACTGTAATGGTAGTAGCGTAGTGGCGCTAGCCTGTGACCAAGTTGTTAGACAATAAATAATATCTGAAATGACCATGGAGTACATGTACATTTTAGCCGCCTCTGTTGACGTGATCTCTTATAAACCTAAAATTAGAAAGATTGAATTCCAATCAGAATCAGAATTCCAAGATACTTGTACTCAGATGCAACCTGTAGTCTTTCCCCTAAAACGAAGACATCAGGGTCTACACATGCACTGTTTGTCTTAGAGAAAAACATGCACATTGTTTTTTCCACATTTAGCTGCAAACAGCATCGCTGCAACCGTGCTGTTACATGAGCCATGGAATTTGTAAGTCCATTAGCAACTTGTGTCCTACTGCTACCATGTAAATAAATGACAGTATCATCCGCATACATTTGGATGTTGGTGTCAGAACATACAGATGGAAGATCATTAATATATAATGTAAATAGTAATGGACCCAAAATGGATCCTTTTGGGACACCCGTCGACAAATGAAGGGGAGCTGATCGATGATTCTGAACTTGGACGGACTGAGATCGATTTAATAGATAAGATTCTAACCACTTGAGTGCCGCTGAAGAAGAATTGATGCTGCATAATCCCGGGACATCCTTAATAATGTGTGTTACAAGTGTGCAGGATGCCATGAAACAGTCCAGAGCTGTGAGAGATGGTAAGGCCTGTGTCTGGGACAGCACAGGGTACAGCTCTATGACTTCAACAGCAAGTCAATGTAATTACAATTTGATTGTCATGAAATCCAATTTAAATGAGGAGAGCCACATTTGCATCCAAAGGCCAAAGTTCATCGTCTTAAATACACTGAAAAGTTTGCGTCAAAAGTTTGTCACTCGGTGTAGAACATGCAGATGTCTCTGTTTGAACAATGAACTTCACTTTCTGTATTGTATGTTTCTTCAAAAAAGCCTATATAGTGCCTTTTCAGAGTGTTTTCTGCTGAGTTGCACACAATGCTCTGCAAAAATAGGCTCAAAGGCAGAGTTCTACTTGTGGTGCCACAGCGGGGGGCTGCTCACGCATGCAGTGTGAACGCAGAAAAGTGTGGTCGTGGCAGACACAGGATGTGTGAAGTGTCTGAACAAATATTTGCATCTAAAGAAACTGATTTCTCCCTCAGGGTAACATCAACCACAAGGTATATTTGTTGCTAAAACAAACAAACAAACAAACAAACCGAAATACTGGTATGGAGTGCCTGGGCAAGAGATTGGCTCTGTCCCAAATGGCACTCTAAGCCCTTGCAGTCTCTCTGAGTCCACACGTTTGTGACATAATGCAGCTTTGACTGTTGGATAGAAGTCTGCTGTGGAGTTCACCCCAGTGCGGGCTCAGCAGAAGTGTGTATAGTGGCCACAATGATTGAGCTTGTGTCAGAGCAATAGCCTTGTGGCCAGCGCTCCAACATATGGTGCAGATGTGCATCAGGCGACCCGAGTTAGAGTCCCGGCTTGAGGTCTTTTGCCTGTCCTGTTCCCCTCTCCCAACCCCATTGCTTCCTATAAACACATAAAATGCCAGAAATATAACTTTAAAAGTCACTCTTCTGAAACCTAAAATGACAAATATGACACCCTACAGTCTCGTCCACTGTAAGTACACAAGCCCGCAAATTCACATGAAATGTGCCATTTGGTATAGGGCCATTGTATCTTCCTCTACAGTCTTAAAGTAAGCAAATACAATGGCGTGTTAAATAAAGGAGATATTTCCCCCTTTTTCCTTTTGCCCTCACCACTCCATAAGAGGGACATGACCCAACACACCCACACTGCAGAATAAATCAGGGTGGAGTAAAACCAGGGCCTCACATGGTTCTGACAGGTAAAGTACTTTAGTCAGTCGACAGCCGATGAGTGAAGCTTCAGAAAGTCATCTTAACTATCTTAACATCTTAACAACCATTTAAATAAGCTTCCATTTTCTAGTTAATATGTTACAAACAGTCAAACTGTTTGAATTAAAAAAAAAAATTGCAACAAAAAAAACAGGCGTACTTACAGAGCCCTTAAAGGGGCCTTTGCAAAAATAAAAATATTCTCGTGAGCATGTGAAAGTCTGTATATTTTTGCAAAGGTCCCTTTAGGGCAGGGTTTCTCAATCTCAGTCCTGGAGGGCCACTGTCCTGCAGAGTTTAGCTCCAACCCTGATCAAACTCACCTGAGCAAGGAGTCAGTAGAAACTCACAGGTAGGTGTGTTTGATCAGGGTTGGAGCTAAACTCTGCAGGACAGTGGCCCTCCAGGACCGAGATTGAGAAACCCTGCTTTAGGGGCTCCGTACGTAATAGTGAAAGACGGTATGGTAAGAAAACCTGGGGCTTTACCGAACATAAATTGAAGTATCTGACTGCAAAGGCCAATTAAAGGGTTAGATCAATCAAAAATTGTAATTCTGTCATCAATTACTCACCCTCATGTCGTACCAAAGCCGTAAGACTTTTGTTCATTTTCGGAAAACAAATGAAGATATTTTTAACGAAATCTGAGAGATTTCTGTCCCTCTATTAACAGTCCACGCAACTACCACTTTAACACTACAAAAAGTTAATTAAGAGATCGTAAAACTAATACATATGAATCAAGTGGCATAGTCACATCTTCTGAATAGTCTTGATCGCTTTATATGATGAACAGATTGCATTTAGACTTTTATTCACATACAAACATATATCAAAGCACATGTCGGTTATGGTAAACGGAAGCTCAAGCATGTTTGAGTTTCAGCAAGAACCAATGAGGTTTGTTCTCGAGCGTCAAGCTGGTATGGTTGAGCTTCTTTTTATGTTCGCTTATCAATGTTTCTATGTGAAGTGCTGTGCATGCAGTGTGTTTCATACACTCCGTGTGGCTGCATGAGTATCTGCCTCTGCTAGGACCGTGACATTGATGGGTGGCTTCTGGGGAACCAGTGTGAAGCCATCTAACATTATCATTACGGGTTTTTACTTCACTTGAGGCTTATTACACATTTTATTCCCCAGCAAGCTCATTAACATGCTTGGCTTTAGGTGAGACATTTGTCCGTGCACAGGCCTCATCACCTTCAGACCATGACAGAGTCACAGAGGATTTTCCCTAATTAAAGTCTGAAAACAGAGGATGTTAGATACTTCAGTTAATGGGCTGGTCCTAATCACGGTCAATAGTGCAAACTGCACAACAAATCGCATGCTTAGCAAAAGGAGGAAGATAAAATAGAAGAAAGAAAGAGAAAAACAGACTGGTTGGAGACAATTAAACAATTAATTGCTATAGAAATAACTGTGAATAATGGTTGAATTGTCTGTTTTGTTCATGTGACATGCAAGGCATGTTTAATACACAAATTCCCCCAGCCCTTAAAGCATTGTGTTTCCTTCTTCAGCATCAGTGGATGTTTCAGCTACTCTAATCGTGTGTTTGAGCCCCTCAACTGTCCTCAGTGTGAAAAGATGAAATAAACGCTGGAAAACCAATGAATGTCCAGGAGCTGGAGGATTTTTCTGGAGAACAGCAGACAGCTGACCTGCTCAGGACACACAAGGGACTCACGAACAACCATCACGAAACATAGAAACAGTCGTAACAACAGATTCAAGGGTGTGTAAACTTTTGAACAGGGTCCTTTTTTATAAGGTCACTTATTATTTTGTCTTGTGATCTATATGTATACATTTTTATGATCCCTCTTTTTTTGTTAAAACTATTAACATTTTCGCAGGTTGTGCAAGGATTATCCCTTAAAGCACAGAGTAAGTTGCTTTAGGTGAAAGTGTCTGCCAAATAAATGAGTTCAGTAGGCT